AAATAATATATATATATATATTATTATTATATATATATATATATATATTATATATATATGTATATATATATATATATATATAATATAATATAATATTATATATATGTAATTATATATGATATTTGCAAAATTAAATTTGAAAAGAAATGATACGCGATAATGACGCGCAGTTTATAGGACTAAAAAATTTACATACAAATATTTATTAGATATCAGGATGTCCCGTAGCATGTATAACACCACTCGTGAGAAAGTAGACGGGAACGAAATAAATAAAAATGTCTTACCATTTTGTGATATTCGCAATAATTTTCGAGTTATTAAATATTAAAGTTGCACAAAATAAGAGCGCGCGGGGAGACAACCCCAGCGTGACGCCATCCGGTGCTCGGCAATGGGCGGAGCGCGCGCAACAAGAGGAAGGATAGTAGCCGCCGCTCACGTTTCCTATCCGTCATACGTCATACGGATCAGGCGGGCGAACATTTTCTCTCCGCGCGCTTTTTCACACTTTTAATCACGGTACGATTGGAGAAAAAGTATTGATTATTTATTTATTATTTATCAATTCTAACAAAATTTTTTGCTCTACAATCATCCTCTAATTATTTTGCACATAAAAGCAATCAAGTATTTATAAAGTATGGTTATAAAAAAATTTAAGGAAAAATAAACTGTAGTGTCACAGAATTTTAAAATGAAATATAAAATATCTCGTGTTTTTCTTGTAACTGTACTTCAATACTTTTATACAGAGAATAATGAGATAAATCAATTGGTGCAAAGAAGACATGAAATTGCTTTACATAAAAATTATTTGCAAAATCTAACTACATATTTCTTTCATGAAATCACGCAGGATTTAGAGATTAAAAAGTTATTAAAAAATATGCGACCGCCGGAACTCTTCTTAAAACATGAGTATAAAATTCTGTTAGAACTACCGAGAACTGTCACTAGAATTGCGATGAATAATCAGCGCGATATTATTCTTCCGATTGTCGTGTTTAATATGAAAAGTGTAAAAAAGTGATAATTGTTTAAATTTTTCCTTGAAATTACACATATTGCTGAAAATCGAATATTAATATTATTCGAGTATCAGGAGACACAATAGTGTCTCGGGTATCAAGTCAACTGAGAACTACCATGTGACTTTACGCGAGTCGGCGAGATGCGAGCATCCGAAATTATCAAATCTCAATAATGGCTAAATTGATCAAATTCTAAGGCTTGATCGATAGCTTGAGTCCGACTTGCATAATAAAAGTATTTTTATTTTTCTGTTACGTGCTGTACAAGCAGAGATATTGCTACGCAAAGTCCGATTTGGAAATTTTTTAAGAAACGTTAAGAAACGTCGTTATTATTATCATTGTCGCCTTTCTATGGCTGCAACGTCTGTCACGAAATGTCATTATTAATCTTATCGATCCTGACTTATCTCATCGGACTGATAAGTCAGGATTACGGGATCAGGATCAGGGGATAAATCAGACTACTACAGGATCTAGTGAATGTTCGCTAGATCCTGCAATGACCCTGACTTATCGGCCTGATTTATCCTTTGGGTCGATAAGATTGATTGATGTAAATACGATAGTGTCTTGGGTATCAATATAATCTTTAAAAAAAAGATTATGTTACAAAATTGCCATATCTAATGCAATTCTAATCAAGAAAAAAAATAAAATCTAAGTGTTAGTATCTTTGTGATCTTTGTATTCATTGTCAGAGTCCTATTCTAACTCAAATGGTACTAGTTTTAATTAAAAAACAAAAAATTTGTTTCCACATTGCCAACTCAACTCAAATGATATCATTTGTATAAAAGATTTGATATCAATGGCGCCAAGTTATAATCCAATCTTTCTATTCTCACCCAAATAATACTAGCCTTAATTCTTCAAAAAAGAAAATTTCGTTTCCACATTGCCAACTCAAATGATTATAATGTATAAAATTTGTATAAAATTTGTATAAAAGATTTGATATCAATAATTGGCGCCAA